AAAACAAAAAACAAAAACGAATAAAAATGGAAGCTTTAGTTACCCCATTTAAGTAAGGAAAAAAAAAGATAATGTTTTCTGGAAACATGCATAAAATCACCCAAAAAAAAGTTTTTTTTTTTTTTGGGGAGTCAACGCACATGCCTATGCATTCCCTGAGGAATTAGTAAAAAAAGTAATAATTGATGGCATAATTTTTTTTCTTAAATTATATTTAAGTAGTATTAATATTTTAAATATGATTTAGTAAAAAAAAAAACCATTAGATATATTATATTATTTGTTTTAATTTTCAAAACTATGAATTTTTTGAAGCGTTATATAAAATTCTAATAGATTCAATTTTTTTTCTTAATGATTTTTTTAAAAAAAACTTGTATTGGATTGAGATGGAAATGGCCTTTCCTCTATAACTAGACATAATCAAGTCAAGTTCCTTCTGGTATATAAAATTCCCATTTCGATCTGATCCATTGCCCTTCCTGATTCTTTTTCATATTGTTCTCTCATTTAAAGCCAGGATGCCTAACTAGATCCAGTCCAGGTTTAAATGGGTTACCTTGAGATTGCCTATCCTAGACTTGGACTTCAACTTCTAGGCTTGGGGGTATGATTAAAGAAGCCCAATATGAGACCATCTTAGTTATTTATATGAGTAAATTATAAATTAGTCCCTATTGTTTTGAAAAACAATTATTTAATCGCTATATTTTTAATTTTCTTCAATTTATTTTGATTTTTTGTTTTAATAAATAAAAAAGTTAAAAAAAAAATATTGAAGGATTGATGAGAAAAAATGATATTTTTTTTTAAAATAAGATAATATTAAATTAAACATGATAAATATGAATTAAAAAACTAAATAATTAGTTTTTAAGATAAAAAATTTAATTAATTTTTTTCTTGAAAATAAAAAGACTAATTTATAATTTACTCATAATTTTACGTATTTTTTTTTCTTATTGTACAGAAAAAAAACAACATAAATTTTATACCTTTTAATAATATTAACACGTTCTTTTAATGTTGGACAGAAAGTACATAAATTAAATTTCTGTTTTATCATATTAACATGCATGATTTTTTCCAAGCAAAATTTCACTAATATCTGACGTGGCAAGAAATTTTAGTCATTATTGTCAACATTTTTCTTTTACCACGGTAGAAATCAATAGAATTTTAGCCAAAAAAAATCACAGAAATTTAATTTATGTATTTACTATTTAATATTAAAATAACATATTAATATGATTAAAAAAATGTAAAATTTATATTTTTCGGTATAATAAATATGTTTTTAGAGTACAATATGTCTATTTTTCACTTTGGATTCAATGCTGAGATCCGCACCGCACAGCCTCAAATTGAAACTCTGGACGTCAGTACACTTTGGCGGACTCACTTATTACTTTTGCAGAAGCTTGAAGTTGAGGATACAAGAATCTACAGCTGACCACGAGTAATGCCATCACCTTCCTTTCCTACTACATTGCACCAAGTAACAATGCCGAAGTTCAAGACCTCCAATATGTTTACCGCTCATGTTATTATTAAGTATACTCAATCTGATTACTCAGTTACGGGAAAAAAAGGTTTTTATCTTAGGAATCATGAGATCTAAAGAACATGGTCAAGAAGAAGATATCGACCACGCTTATGGCTTACAACTTTAAATTTCAGGCAAAGTTATAAATGGAAAGATTGTAGCAATCTTATCACTTACTAATTGATTTGATTGGGCTGGTACGTGTTCTCTTTCAAACTTCTTGCATCACACCGACAAAGCTATAAAATGGACCTTTTATTTCTTCGACAAAATTAATGGCCTCTGAAACTTACAACAATATAGTTTTAATGGATACACTGTCACTGATTCAATTATTATTATTATTTTTTTTTCTGGCAATTCAATGTTGTGGTTCCACTTATGTCCTCTTTGTTTTTGCATTGTGTGCAGGGCCAATCTATACGACTCTTGAAAGATATGACATCATGTAAAGGGCTATTGTCTTGTCTCCAAATATATGTTCAGTGGTGTCTGGCTAAATTTAATTAGCAGGTGAGTCTTTCGTTTGTGTCTTCATTATTCCATCTTGTTTATGATTTCGAATGGATGTATAGAATATTTATGACAGTTAGATTTGAAGAACCTATACGTGATGTCTGTTCATCAAATAAATATTTATGATCGTTAGATATGAAGTACATACGTGATATCTATTCATCAAGTAAATATTTATGATTGTTAGACATGAAGAGCCCAAGTGATACATAATATTTATTTATCAAATGGAAAAAAAAAAATCTTTTCACTACTCGAGGAAATCTTTTATTTTTTAAAAATGATTCTAAAATTCGAAGGTAGCAATATTCATCTAGGGGTGTTTGTCTATTTGAATGTCCAAAAGGAACAGGCACCCTTCTCTTTCTCATACTCATATAGCGGAAAGAAATCAAGCACTTAGTTTTGTAAGAAGTCAGGCATGCAGGTATCGTAATAATAGTTACAGCAAGGGTTCACTTAACAGTAAACACTTACACAATACAAGGACATAAGTTAATGTAGCGCAGGGATGACTAACGGACAGCAATTAACAGCATGTACAACTTTAGGGTCCTCTGTCACTGGAAAGCTTTTGCAATATATTGAATGGTCTCAACAGCTCATTGTATTGCTGAGGTACAAGACAGATAACAACTTTATTAAATTGTAGAGATTGAAGTGGATATAGTTTGTAATTTAGTGCCTTACACAGAATCAGTACATCAATCTCGTTATATTGGATCATGTGTATAGGCGCATAAGGGTTTTTTTTTTTTTAATAACCTTAATTGTCAATACTATAAATAATATAATATCTCTTTTATTTTGTGCCGCTAATTGAAAAACTCTAATAAGAACTCATGGACAGCTGTTGAGTAGCACAATTTATTGAATCAGTATTATGTGACGATCTCTTGTTTTTTGTGTTCTATCTTCTTGCTTTATTCATTTTCTAACAAACTCTAAATGATTTAGAAGCTCATAGTAATGGTTGTGTTGGAGGCCATGCAGTAGGATCTTAGACATGGAGGAATTAATGAAGTTCTGACCAGCTGCCTCCTTGTTGGAAACTTTAGCATCTCTCATATCAGCAATAACTAGATTTTGGCTTGGTGGCCTGAGTCTTGAGATCTTTAATTATTACTGAATTTGTAGTAGTAATTCTTGGAGGTAAATTTTACATGTTTTAGCATCAATGTGGTACAAATTCAATTAGCAGAGGAATAAATATTACACCATCTAACCATCAGAGAACTTCAATTTCACAGTCAGACTGCGGAAAGCAGTAATGGTTTGCCAGCCATACAGAGTCCAGGAATGTTTTCAACCTGGTATCTAAAGCTATTTTTTTTTTTTTTTTACCATTCATGCTTTGGTTTTTCCGTATAAATTTTTACCATCATTTTTGGTGAAATTTTAGATATACTCTGATCATGGCTTGAATTGAAAGGAACTTATTGTAATAAAACTCCTGTCAGTCCAGTTATGAAGATTATGACTCTGATTTATTTAATGCAGGGATTATCAATCCCGAAACTTGCTTGTTTCCGGAGGGACATCCTAATGATTAGCATTTCTATCCTGGATATTTTAGGTTCAAAATCATGGATAGATATATGGGTGGACTTTTAGGGGATGAAATTCTCAGTTTACGTACTTTAGGCTGGTTTACAAGCCTAGTTCCCAGGCCTTTGTCTGAGCTCTAACGTATTAGTAGAGTATATCTAGAATCACTCTTTTAATCCTATGGAGTTTTCCTGATGGGTAAGGAAATATGTTTTCTTCGTTAATTTTTTGAATTTAAATTTTGGATCCAACATTCAAAAGAATTTATATATTTTTTTTAAATACAATAAAATCTCCTCAAGGGAGGATATAGTTTTTATTAACACGCAAACTGACCGATAATACCTCTTGCCGTGAAAGAAAAAATAAAAAAAAATTCCCCTTTCATCTTCAATATTATAAATGTATTAGAGAGTATAACTGAGAGTTTTTATAAAATCATTTATGAGACTTCACTTTACAAATTGAACTCTCCTTGCATTATCGTATTGTATTTCGAAAGTTTCCAAGTGTTTCTTCCAATACAATTTGTCTATGCCTAGCTCCTACCATATTTAACTGTCGAAAGGCTTATGAAATATGCCTATAGTTGCTTCTGATCTTATGTGTTATTAATTCACCATTTTCCTGTGGAGAGTTAGATGTTGAACTTGGGATTTGGATTGTTTTAATGAGCTTGAACAAGTTAAGAACCACCCAATTCAATCATTGATATCCTGCCTCCCCCTTGATAATTGGAAAGAACAAAGGGGATTGAGTCTAATGATCAAAACTGAGGTTGTCATTCTACAGACAGAGATCAATAAGTAGCAGTCGCACACAGAAAGGAAGAACTATTCATTAAGAAGCTACAGAAAACTTCAACACAAAATGAAACTAATGTTTGTTAATGAGTAAGCTAAGTAGCCTACAGTCTACTAACGCCTCCCTAACAGCAGACACGCAAAAGGAGCAGACAGATCACTAGACAATTGCAAAATAAGTCACACCTACAGGAATACTAACCCTAATTAACTCTACTCTAAGATAAAACAAAAGATGAAAGCAAAGTTTTTTAACATTTGTAACATGTTCTGAGTTCACTTCCATCTTTGTCAGGCAAAGTCAATACCCGAACCTATAGCCCTTGCAGGGTGGTGAAATGCCCTTTTACTACTAGCTATTCTGCCTTGACAAACAACACCAGGCAAGGACCATCTAAGGTGCGTTCTTGACTTAAATATGGTTGAAGGCATACGGCATCTTTCTTCCTAACTCCTCTCCACTGCAACAAAAATTATGATTGTACAGAAAAAATGTTAGTTCTAATGCAATTTTTGTTGCTTGTTTTGGATAATTTCGCCAAATAATATAGTGTCTTGAATTTCCTACCTTATGAGGGGCTCTTCAATCAGGCATTGTCACACATTACTGCAGCCTTAATCCTTTCAACTGTGCACTTAATTAGACTGTTTACAGTTGCTACTGATCCGAGCGAAAGCTTGGCTGTTGGGATTGAATCAACTAATATCTGAAATGCAACAGTCAGTAGAGAGCCACCGGAACCGACATCAATGATTCCGGCAGGGCCATATCCTGGTCCATCAGGGAGTATAGCAAAACCTGATGGAAGCAGTGCAACATAATCTGGGTCTCCACCACTTAGGACTACATTCATGGCCGAAATGTCCACTGGTGCATAAATGACATATGATCCTGTAGAATCAGTGCAGCTCTCTTGTAATATCAGCATGTTGCTCTGGCTTGAGTTGGTACTCTGCAATATATTTAGGATTGATGTCAGTAATAATCGATTCTTAATAAGACGTGCGAACAGGACAGACGTGCGAGCCTGCAAACACGATCATGTTTTGGCAACTTACATTGACACGGAGTAAAGAGACACAGTTTCCGGGATCGCGGCCATTAGCAATATGAGCCATTTCTTGAACTTGGCCGCCATTCGAAAGGATATCCCACTGTATGCAAAGGCAAAAGGTTTAAATCTAAGAAGAACTTAAAACCTTGAATTGTTTCAAATTGTTTTAGCTACTAAAGCAAATTAGGCTTAGAAGCTACATGATTTCATATACCTCACTTCGATGGTTCTCATCTTTAAGGAAATTAAACACCCTCTTGGATGGAACTGGAATCCAGAAGGAAGTCGCAGCACTAAGCACAATACCAGGAGGCCTGCCTGGATCATCCATGCTCTTTCTAGTCATTACTCTCACATCATCAGAACTAGTTGCTGACAATGTTGTCCATGCATGTGCAGTAGAAGCACCAACACCAGTGCAAAAGCTCATCACCATTCTCTCAGCTAGCTTCAGCATACTTTTCCTCCCTTCGGGGGTTGTTATCACTGTCCAGAAGAACAAGGATTGATCAAGAAATTATGTTATCAAGAAGAAATTCAAATGAGTAAGCCTTTTTTTAGCTCTATGAACTAAGCAGAAAGATCAAAATACATTACCACAGAGATCTCCAGTTGGAATGTTAATGGCCATCGAACTTGCAAGACGTTCGCATTGTCGATCTAATGTTCCCACCCAACGTTTTGCTCCGAAAGCAAGACCACAGTTAACTAGTGGTCTGTATATATTGTGAACAGATCTATCATCCACTTCAATGTGTTCAACCCAGACGACCTACACAATCATGATACTACGGTTATATGATTTTGAAAAATATTTTGTTCGTCCTATTTGGAAATGAAAGTGAGACCTTGAGGGTGATATTCAAGTAAGAGCTACTACCTTGGAATAACCATTTGGCAATTCTTGGATCAAGCAACCTGATGGCCTTCTTCTACATTTCGACATTGGACTAGGGCGTAAACTTTCCAAGGAAACATCTACCACTGCCCAAATCCCATCGGGATGCTGTTTACAGTACCTCACAAAGTAATTTTCCCGTGTAGGAACGAGTGGAGACGGGACTTGGAATTCAGCTGTCATCTGTGAAAAAGCAATGGTAGGTATGTTGAGAAGTCGGTGAACTAAATGAAAATGCAGATTATCTTGGTGAAATGACGATTTCATTCACAAAAAAGTCACTAGATCCATATTAGTAGAGTAAAGAAAATGAGAATTTGTTTTTACCACTTGCAATGCTCCATTATAGTTCCCTGCCACCCCTGTTGATAGGACTTCCAGGGTCATTGCTCTTGATACTATACCACAGAAAATAGTTGACCATTGATTCTGCAACCAAAATTTCAATTCACATTATAGTTAGTTTGGAACATAAAAACTTCCAATTTCCAAGTATCAGAAATCTTCAAATTATTGTATGAAGATTTAGAGAATTGAGAGATAATCTATCCTCATTTTGCTAAAGTCAAGTCCCAATTAATCTTCTAAGAATATCACAAATAGACACAGATCTATATATAATGATACCAACTACAGGAGAGAAACCTACCGCATCCATGAGAATCTCAACAAGATTAACGTGACTCATGATAACAACTGCAGATTCCCTTGAAGCCTCAGATCTCATTCCCAAGGGTTTTGGTCCAATTCCCCTAGTAAAAGTTCTCAAATATTCCTCTTCATTGAGCAGTTCAGTGTTGTTCTCTCCTTGAATCCATAAGGGTTCTCCAGCCTGAGCCATTCTCGTTAGTTCCTCCATTGCCGCAACAGCGAGTTCAACGATCATTGGTTTGTCTGCCTCGGTCGGTCCAGTGACTGATCTTAGAAGTTCACTAGCTCCAAACATCTCCCCTACGAAGCCCGAATGTGCACTAAAATTGCTAACTCCCAGATCAAGAGACCGGGATGGTAAATGAGGAGAAAGGTTGGAAAGAGAAGACAAAGGCTTGCCAACATACTTGGCAGCAATTCCAGATATCCTGTCAATCTGTAACCACACCGCAGTTTTGTTAAAAATTGTTTGAACGATTACAAATTTGAACTGTTAAGACTGATAGAAGATGTAGTTTTTGTAACCTCTTCTCTTAGACGAGCATTCTCAATCCTCAAATGCTGCTCATCAAAAGACATCTCACCAAGAGCAGCTGGACCACCACAGTTAGGGCATGAGGCACTACTTAGGGCTTCCTTGTACCTATTGTTCTCCGCACGAAGTTTTTCATTCTCAGCCTTGAGAATTGAATTCTCACTGCGTTCATTTTGAGCCTACATAATGGAAAGAATGATTAGCAATATAAGTCTTTAAGTTTTGCTCTTGATTCTTGGGGGGGGGGGGGGGGGGGGATGAAGCTTATTGCAAACCGAAAATAGAGTTCTTTTTTTTTTTTCTTTTCTTTTTCTTTTTAATGAAAATCAATTAGAATTATATTAAAGAACAAGCCATCAAGAAATGGGCTTTAATTAGTTGCAAGTAGACATTATATCTTTAGTATATATGTGTTGTAAAGAAAATATGTTCCTTTTTCTTTCTTTCTTTTTTTTTTTTAAGGAAGAAATAATTTGCATTATTAATAAATGTGGGAAGTTATATGCTTTCCTTATTACAATATATATCAAGATTGGAGAAAATATAGAGGGTGCCTCAAATGCAGTAGATGCGTTACCTTCATTTGAGTTCGCTTGTTTTGGAACCAAAATTTGACTTGCAATGGCTCTAACCCTAGCTCACGGCTGATCTCCTTCCGTTGCTTGTCGTCCGGATGAGGGCATTCCTTGAAAAAACTAAGTAAACAAAGCTCATAAATAAAAAAATAAAAAAATTCAAATTTAAAAAATTAAAGATCAAGCACGATCTATCGATAGATGGGCAATCGATCGGAGTAAAGCTGGTAGAATTCTTACGCTTCCATTTCTTGGATTTGATGCTGTGTATGGCGATGATAACGCTTCTTTTTGGGGCGTTGGCCGCTGGGATCTTGATCATCACCGGAGGGAGCTTCCGTAGTTTCGGTGCCCGATTTGGTATCGTAGTCATCATCGTTGAGCTTGCTCAAGTCATTTTCAGAACTTTTGGGAGTCATATCAAACATACGATGGCCCTCAAACATGTTTGGTTGGAACATTTTTATATATCTCTAAAATTTTATGGTAAGCTGTATTTGCAATCTGCCAAAAAAATAACATAAATAAGTAAATACAAAAAAAAAAAAAAAAGGAAGAAGAAGAAGAAGGAAAAGAACTACTCTAATATGCCAATTGAACATACTAGAGTGGTAAAGTACATAAGGAAATAAAAGTACTACTAATACAAATACAGAAAAAATTTATTGCTAAGAAATTAATATCTATATGGAAATATTTCTTGATAAGAAACATTAATTAATGATTTAAAAAAAAGAGTACAATAAGGACAAAAAAAAGGAAATCCAGGTTAAATTATCAACATAGTAAATGTTGTATGAACTTAGTAAGGCAAAGTGAACTGTATTCCACACTGTCATAGTCATAGCCGTATAATATTATGCATACATGTATGTAAAAAGATAAGAGAAGGCTAATGACCAGATAAGCAAGTTATCTTCTTTATTTCTCTCTTTCGAAAGAAAAAAGAAAAAGCGTTTTGCCTTCATTCCAAGAAGGATGTTGCTTGAAAATGTTTTAATTACCTTGCTTAAGCATATTTGAGTAAATAAAAACAGTTTTTAGGTAAAAATACAACTTCATACAATTAAAACAAGAAGATGAGAGAGAGAGGGGCCTTACCTAATTGACTAACCTAGAGGATGATTGGAATCTGGCAACCTTTTTTTCCCTTCCAACTCCATTTTAGAAGGCTTACTCTCACCAGCAAACCCTAGGCAGCATCCTTATCTCTTCTCTCTCTCTCTCTCTCTCTCTCTCGAGGATGTAATATGATATAATATGCTTAGGTTGGCTTTATGTGAGGTCGGTTTTAGAAATAGATTCTCTCAAGCAGCGTAAAGAAAAAAAAACTAATAAGATTATTACAAGTAGCAAGAGAGCAGGAATGAGCAGGGTGTTTGGGTATGAATATCAAAGGAAAGTCTCAAGTCGTTTCTAATTTTACGTGCCAAGAGAAGGGAATTAAGAAAAAAGAAGCAAGTACACAGCATAAAGAGTTGACACTGTGTGGACCCCTTTCTGAGGCTTTGACAAACAAATTTCAGCGCACCATAACCAAGATTATAACGCCCACTAAGATCTAGGTCAATCAATCCCACTTGGCCTATTTAAATTCCTGCACAAAAAAAAATAAATAAATAGAAGGAAAGAAAAAAATCATTTTCATTTACAATATAAAGGTTTTTGTAAATGATGATACATATAAAACTGAAATGAGAGAAGCTTCTTGATAAGAGAAATGAAGGTTTTTGTAGACAAGTTGTGTATAAGCATAAGATTACGAGCTACTTACCAAAATATAGAAGCTTGAAGTCCATTGAAGTTTAATGGAAACAAGGGTTAGATTTGCGTTTGAAGAGGTTTTGGGTCTCTGCCAAACCAGTATTTAGGGCTAGAGAAGTGGGTTTTTGGCTGGTTTTGGAAGAGAGACCCTATATTCTAAAAAAGGTTTTAAGATGACAGATTCACTCTGATGGGAGAAAAAAGGAGAGAGAGAGAGAGAGAGAGAGAGAGAGAGACGGACGAGGAAAAAGAGGAGATGTTTCTAAGGCTTTGAAGAAGGTGAGAACGGGAAGAAGAAATGGAACAGGTGGTGAGGATGTGGCAGCAGAGGAGTAATTGCAGAGCGTATAGAGAGGGTGTACTAGCATTTATGGTGGGAGAGAGGTGTAAATGCGAGAGAGAGAGAGATAAGAGAAAAGAGCGATCATTATTCCATGTTTAAATTTCCTCTAGAAGTATGGTGGTGTGAATTACGGCTTATTGGATCCCAAATTTCCACCATTTTTGTTGCTTCATTAGTGCAAAAATTGATGTATGTAGATGATCAATATTCGTTTATGAAATCATAATTTACTCGTGGATTTTGTGATCTGTATGCCTAGTTAGAAACAACATGATTAATGTAGGAAAACATATGGCTAAATATATACACACGGTCGATTCATTTGGATTCCCTATAGTTTAGTTTATTTGCAATAATGATGTTTCAAAAAGAAAATATGCAATTAATGAGAATATATTTAGTAGTGTTTTTTTTTTTTTTTTGGATTAGAAATAGAATACGTCATCTTACAAAATTATCATTATAAGTTTCTGAGTCGTGAACTAACTCCATATAACACACAATAATTAAGTCTACATAAACCTAAAATCATTGTCAGAAAAATGCCTATCTAATGAGTAAAACTGATTATATATATATATATATAAGTGTTATATATGTTACACAAATTTAGACAACAATTTGTCCAATAAATGGACAATATTTTTTTCCTTTTTTCCCTCTTATTTGGAAAGAAATTGACAGCATTAAAAAAAAAAAAAAAACAATTAGAAAGACTTCTTGATGCCAATTTTCTTAATTATGTTTGAAACATTTTCCCATACAATAATGGAATTCCAATAACACATGATTATGGCTTTAAAGAGGACAAACATATTGTTTTGCGGAATTTTTTTATATATGTCTCAATTAAAAAAATATAACAAAAAAAAAAATGTTGGATAGTGATTTGCAAGACAATTTAACTTCCATACTCGAAAGTGAATGTGCTTAATTAATTATCTTATATATGCTACAATTTGTTCTAAAGGTATTTTTGGTATTCTTTTTAATATAAAACTACACCAAGTGAGTTACAATTAGATTGTAAATCCTAAAAGAGGTTTGCAATCAACCCAAATCGGTTGGGTTGTAAATTTGCAAGAATGATCACTTACAAAAATGACAATTTCAACTTAACAATTCATATTTTTCAAAGCTTTGAAACTAAATAAATTATATATTAGAAATTAAGGTTACAATCTTGACAATATACAAAGTTGAAACGAAAATGTCATTGATGATGAAAATTGCTCACATATTGGCGTTCCAAACATAATAACTCAATAATTTAGGTCATAATCACAAGTTGTAGATGCAAGATGGAAACCAAAAGATAAACTATCAATCTAAGAATTACTAGCTTACAAACTATTAACCAACGAATTACTACCTACTTTATTATTGTTTACAACCTACGACTCTATAAGTTATAGTCTAACAAATTTCAAGTGTGTTGAAACTTAAGTGAGTGCTTTGTAAGTTATTTGTAAATTATAAGTTGAGTTTGTTTATATGTTGTGTATCTATTTTTTTTGTTGTAACTTGTATTTATAAGTTTTGTCGCTACCCGACATCGAACGAGACTCCCCAAAATATTAATTCTTAGTGTTAATTATTATTTACAAAATTATGTACAGATTTGGAGTTGCCACCTAGTATTTAGGAATTATGAACCTAAAAATAAGCACTTGGTTTAGAGATTTTATGGTAAGGAGTTAGTTATACTTTTGAAAAAATATATTTAATCATCCAAAAGTGCCATTTCCGAGGAAAGGTACCACTTTTAGTTTAGTTCTAAATTTATCTTCTAAAATATTTTATTTATATTGAACTATTTTTTTATTTTTAAACTCTTTTTTTAAAGACAAATTGAATCTTTTAGTTTTAGGCATGACATCGTATTGAAACGATCATCGGTCCCCTTCATCGGACGACACGTTGATTCAAACATCGGATTGTTTATATGTTGTGTATCTATTTTTTCTGTTGTAACTTGTATTTATAAGTTTTGTCGCTACCCGACATCGAACGAGACTCCCCAAAATATTAATTCTTAGTGTTAATTATTATTTACAAAACTATGTACAAATTTGGAGTCGCCACATAGTATTTAGGAACTATGAACCTAAAAATAAGCACCGATTCGGAGATTCTATGGTAAGGAGTTAGTTACACTTTTGAAAAAATATATTTAATCATCCAAAAGTGTCATTTCCGAGGAAAAGTACCACTTTTAGTTTAGTTCTAAATTCATCTCCCGAAATATTTTATTTATATTGAACTATTTTTTTATTTTTAAACTCTTTTTTTAAAGACAAATTGAATCTTTTAGTTTTGGGCATGACATCGTATTAAAACGATCGTCGGTCCCCTTCATTGGGCGACACGTTGATTCAAACATCGGATCCACTTTAAGCCTTCACACAATCGGTGTGTTGGAGATATCCTGATTAAACAATGATTTTTGTGACGTCGGTCCCTATCGGGTAGGAGACTTTGTCAAGAATTTTAGATATTTTTTTAGTGACGTCGGTCCCTATCAGAGCTAAGAGACTTAGTAAAAAAATTTAGATTTTTTTAATTTTTTTAATCTAATAACATACAACAAAAAAGGGGAAAATATCAACTCTAAATTATTGCAAGAAAATGTGACAAGAAATAAAAAATAATCAAGCTAAAAAAAAGAGAAATAGATAAATAAACAAACTCAAAATGTTAAAAGAAATCAATTTGGACCTAATCCATTAACATAAAACTAATTTCTCTCCTACCCATTCCCTTTTCCCTTTTTTATATTTTTTCTTCCCTAATTCTATTTTTTCCTTTTTTATTTTTTGGGAGAGGCTGGACCGATTCTAGCCTCTCTTCTTCTTCTTCTTCTTTTTCTTTTCTTTTTTAGGGCGGGAAGAAGGGCTGGACTAAGTCCGACCTCGACTTGTTATCTATTTATTTGGGTAGAAGGGGCATGGTCTTGACCGAACTCGGTCCAGCCCCTTTTGTTTTTTGTTTTTTTTTTTTTTGTTTTTTGTTGTTTGTACGAGGAATTGGCTAGGCCTCAAGTCCGCAAACAAGTCCCACCTTTCTTAACCTTTCGGCTTTAGATCAAAACAGTCATTTTCAAGCTTTTGACCTCTTCTCCCTTTTATTCTTCATGTTCTTAACTTTCTCTCTCTATTCATCATCATTTTGCGGACATTGAAATTGCATTTTAGATCAAAACAAAACATTTGACTAGCACATCATATTCAACATCTTTACCTCCACTATAATTAATAATCTAAAGTTTAACAACAACAATCAAATTATTAAAAGTGAGAGGACTTGAAAACTAAGGAGAAAGAAGGAAAAAAATATGAA